GGTGGTTTCGATGGTCTCAGCAGCGGCGGTGGTTTCAATGGTCTCTGCGGCTACGGTGGTTTCAATGGTCTCTGCGGCGGCGGTGGTTTCAGTGGTCTCTGCAGCGGCGGTGGTTTCAGTGGTCTCAGCAGCGGCGGTGGTTTCAATGGTCTCTGCGGCGGCGGTGGTTTCAGTGGTCTCTGCGGCGGTGGTTTCAATGGTCTCTGCAGCGGCGGTGGTTTCAGTGGTCTCTGCGGCGGCAGTGGTTTCAGTGGTCTCTGCGGCGGCGGTGGTTTCAGTGGTCTCAGCAGCGGCGGTGGTTTCAGTGGTCTCAGCAGCGGCGGTGGTTTCAATGGTCTCTGCGGCGGCGGTGGTTTCAGTGGTTTCGATGGTCTCTGCGGCGGCGGTGGTTTCAATGGTCTCTGCAGCGGCGGTGGTTTCAATGGTCTCTGCGGCGGTGGTTTCAGTGGTCTCTGCGGCGGCGGTGGTTTCAGTGGTCTCTGCGGCGGTGGTTTCGATGGTCTCTGCGGCGGCGGTGGTTTCAGTGGTCTCTGCGGCGGTGGTTTCAATGGTCTCTGCGGCGGTGGTTTCGATGGTCTCTGCAGCGGCGGTGGTTTCAGTGGTCTCTGCGGCGGTGGTTTCGATGGTCTCTGCGGCGGCGGTGGTTTCAGTGGTCTCTGCGGCGGTGGTTTCAATGGTCTCTGCGGCGGTGGTTTCGATGGTCTCTGCAGCGGCGGTGGTTTCAGTGGTCTCTGCGGCGGTGGTTTCGATGGTCTCTGCGGCGGCGGTGGTTTCAGTGGTCTCTGCGGCGGTGGTTTCGATGGTCTCTGCGGCGGCGGTGGTTTCAGTGGTCTCTGCGGCGGTGGTTTCAATGGTCTCTGCGGCGGTGGTTTCGATGGTCTCAGCAGCGGCGGTGGTTTCAATGGTCTCTGCGGCGGCGGTGGTTTCAGTGGTCTCTGCAGCGGCGGTGGTTTCAGTGGTCTCAGCAGCGGCGGTGGTTTCAATGGTCTCTGCGGCGGCGGTGGTTTCAGTGGTCTCTGCAGCGGCGGTGGTTTCAGTGGTCTCTGCGGCGGTGGTTTCAGTGGTCTCTGCGGCGGTGGTTTCAGTGGTCTCTGCAGCGGCGGTGGTTTCAGTGGTCTCTGCGGCGGTCGTTTCGATGGTCTCTGCGGCGGCGGTGGTTTCAATGGTCTCTCAGCGGCGGTGGTTTCAATGGTCTCTGCAGCGGCGGTGGTTTCAATGGTCTCTGCGGCGGCGGTGGTTTTCAATGGTCTCTGCAGCGGCGGTGGTTTCAATGGTCTCTGCAGCGGCGGTGGTTTCGATGGTCTCAGCAGCGGCGGTGGTTTTAATGGTCTCTGCAGCTGCGGTGGTTTCAGTGGTCTCTGCGGCGGTCGTTTCGATGGTCTCTGCGGCTGTGGTTTCAGTGGTCTCTGCGGCGGTGGTTTCGATGGTCTCTGCAGCGGCGGTGGTTTCAGTGGTCTCTGCGGCGGTGGTTTCAATGGTCTCTGCTGCGGCGGTGGTTTCAGTGGTCTCAGCAGCGGCGGTGGTTTCAATGGTCTCTGCAGCGGCGGTGGTTTCAGTGGTCTCTGCGGCGGTGGTTTCGATGGTCTCTGCTGCGGCGGTGGTTTCAATGGTCTCAGCAGCGGCGGTGGTTTCAATGGTCTCTGCAGCGGCGGTGGTTTCAGTGGTCTCTGCGGCGGTGGTTTCGATGGTCTCTGCGGCGGCGGTGGTTTCAGTGGTCTCTGCGGCGGTGGTTTCGATGGTCTCTGCGGCGGTGGTTTCAGTGGTCTCTGCTGCGGTGGTTTCGATGGTCTCTGCGGCGGTGGTTTCAGTGGTCTCTGCGGCGGTGGTTTCGATGGTCTCTGCGGCGGTGGTTTCAGTGGTCTCTGCTGCGGTGGTTTCGATGGTCTCTGCGGCGGTGGTTTCAGTGGTCTCTGCGGCGGTGGTTTCGATGGTCTCTGCGGCGGTGGTTTCAGTGGTCTCTGCGGCGGTGGTTTCAATGGTCTCTGCGGCGGTGGTTTCAGTGGTCTCTGCTGCGGCGGTGGTTTCAGTGGTCTCAGCAGCGGTGGAGGTTTCAATGGTCTCTGCAGCGGTGGTTTCAATGGTCTCTGCGGCGGCGGTGGTTTCAGTGGTCTCAGCAGCGGCGGTGGTTTCAATGGTCTCTGCTGCGGCGGTGGTTTCGATGGTCTCAGCAGCGGCGGTGGTTTCAATGGTCTCTGCAGCGGCGGTGGTTTCAGTGGTCTCTGCGGCGGTGGTTTCAGTGGTCTCAGCAGCGGCGGTGGTTTCAATGGTCTCAGCAGCGGCGGTGGTTTCGATGGTCTCTGCGGCGGTGGTTTCAGTGGTCTCTGCGGCGGCGGTGGTTTCAGTGGTCTCTGCGGCGGTGGTTTCAGTGGTCTCTGCGGCGGTGGTTTCAGTGGTCTCTGCGGCGGCGGTGGTTTCAGTGGTCTCTGCGGCGGTGGTTTCAGTGGTCTCAGCAGCGGCGGTGGTTTCAATGGTCTCAGCAGCGGCGGTGGTTTCGATGGTCTCTGCGGCGGTGGTTTCAGTGGTCTCTGCGGCGGCGGTGGTTTCAGTGGTCTCTGCGGCGGTGGTTTCAGTGGTCTCTGCGGCGGTGGTTTCAGTGGTCTCTGCGGCGGCGGTGGTTTCAGTGGTCTCTGCGGCGGTGGTTTCAGTGGTCTCTGCGGCGGCAGTGGTTTCAGTGGTTTCAGTGGTCTCTGCGGCGGCGGTGGTTTCAGTGGTCTCTGCAGCGGCGGTGGTTTCAGTGGTCTCTGCAGCGGCGGTGGTTTCAGTGGTCTCAGCAGCGGCGGTGGTTTCAATGGTCTCTGCGGCGGCGGTGGTTTCAGTGGTTTCGATGGTCTCTGCGGCGGCGGTGGTTTCAATGGTCTCTGCGGCGGCGGTGGTTTCAGTGGTCTCTGCGGCGGTGGTTTCGATGGTCTCTGCGGCGGCGGTGGTTTCAGTGGTCTCTGCGGCGGTGGTTTCAATGGTCTCTGCGGCGGTGGTTTCGATGGTCTCTGCAGCGGCGGTGGTTTCAGTGGTCTCTGCGGCGGTGGTTTCGATGGTCTCTGCGGCGGCGGTGGTTTCAGTGGTCTCTGCGGCGGTGGTTTCGATGGTCTCTGCGGCGGCGGTGGTTTCAGTGGTCTCTGCGGCGGTGGTTTCAGTGGTCTCTGCGGCGGTGGTTTTGATGGTCTCTGCGGCGGCGGTGGTTTCAGTGGTCTCTGCGGCGGTGGTTTCAATGGTCTCTGCGGCGGTGGTTTCGATGGTCTCTGCAGCGGCGGTGGTTTCAGTGGTCTCTGCGGCGGTGGTTTCGATGGTCTCTGCGGCGGCGGTGGTTTCAGTGGTCTCTGCGGCGGTGGTTTCAGTGGTCTCTGCGGCGGTGGTTTCAGTGGTCTCTGCAGCGGCGGTGGTTTCAGTGGTCTCTGCAGCGGTGGTTTCGATGGTCTCTGCGGCGACGGTGGTTTCAGTGGTCTCTGCGGCGGTGGTTTCGATGGTCTCTGCAGCGGCGGTGGTTTCAGTGGTCTCTGCGGCGGTGGTTTCGATGGTCTCTGCGGCGGCGGTGGTTTCAGTGGTCTCTGCGGCGGTGGTTTCGATGGTCTCAGCAGCGGCGGTGGTTTCAATGGTCTCTGCGGCTACGGTGGTTTCAATGGTCTCTGCGGCGGCGGTGGTTTCAGTGGTCTCTGCAGCGGCGGTGGTTTCAGTGGTCTCAGCAGCGGCGGTGGTTTCAATGGTCTCTGCGGCGGCGGTGGTTTCAGTGGTCTCTGCGGCGGTGGTTTCAATGGTCTCTGCAGCGGCGGTGGTTTCAGTGGTCTCTGCGGCGGCAGTGGTTTCAGTGGTCTCTGCGGCGGCGGTGGTTTCAGTGGTCTCAGCAGCGGCGGTGGTTTCAGTGGTCTCAGCAGCGGCGGTGGTTTCAATGGTCTCTGCGGCGGCGGTGGTTTCAGTGGTTTCGATGGTCTCTGCGGCGGCGGTGGTTTCAATGGTCTCTGCAGCGGCGGTGGTTTCAATGGTCTCTGCGGCGGTGGTTTCAGTGGTCTCTCGCGGCGGCGGTGGTTTCAGTGGTCTCTGCGGCGGTGGTTTCGATGGTCTCTGCGGCGGCGGTGGTTTCAGTGGTCTCTGCGGCGGTGGTTTCAATGGTCTCTGCGGCGGTGGTTTCGATGGTCTCTGCAGCGGCGGTGGTTTCAGTGGTCTCTGCGGCGGTGGTTTCGATGGTCTCTGCGGCGGCGGTGGTTTCAGTGGTCTCTGCGGCGGTGGTTTCAATGGTCTCTGCGGCGGTGGTTTCGATGGTCTCTGCAGCGGCGGTGGTTTCAGTGGTCTCTGCGGCGGTGGTTTCGATGGTCTCTGCGGCGGCGGGTGGTTTCAGTGGTCTCTGCGGCGGTGGTTTCGATGGTCTCTGCGGCGGCGGTGGTTTCAGTGGTCTCTGCGGCGGTGGTTTCAATGGTCTCTGCGGCGGTGGTTTCGATGGTCTCAGCAGCGGCGGTGGTTTCAATGGTCTCTGCGGCGGCGGTGGTTTCAGTGGTCTCTGCAGCGGCGGTGGTTTCAGTGGTCTCAGCAGCGGCGGTGGTTTCAATGGTCTCTGCGGCGGCGGTGGTTTCAGTGGTCTCTGCAGCGGCGGTGGTTTCAGTGGTCTCTGCGGCGGTGGTTTCAGTGGTCTCTGCGGCGGTGGTTTCAGTGGTCTCTGCAGCGGCGGTGGTTTCAGTGGTCTCTGCGGCGGTCGTTTCGATGGTCTCTGCGGCGGCGGTGGTTTCAATGGTCTCTCAGCGGCGGTGGTTTCAATGGTCTCTGCAGCGGCGGTGGTTTCAATGGTCTCTGCGGCGGCGGTGGTTTCAATGGTCTCTGCAGCGGCGGTGGTTTCAATGGTCTCTGCAGCGGCGGTGGTTTCGATGGTCTCAGCAGCGGCGGTGGTTTTAATGGTCTCTGCAGCTGCGGTGGTTTCAGTGGTCTCTGCGGCGGTCGTTTCGATGGTCTCTGCGGCTGTGGTTTCAGTGGTCTCTGCGGCGGTGGTTTCGATGGTCTCTGCAGCGGCGGTGGTTTCAATGGTCTCTGCTGCGTCGGTGGTTTCAGTGGTCTCTGCAGCGGCGGTGGTTTCAATGGTCTCTGCAGCGGCGGTGGTTTCAGTGGTCTCAGCAGCGGCGGTGGTTTCGATGGTCTCTTCTGCGGCGGTGGTTTCGATGGTCTCTTCTGCGGCGGTGGTTTCAATGGTCTCAGCAGCGGCGGTGGTTTCAGTGGTCTCAGCAGCGGCGGTGGTTTCAGTGGTCTCAGCAGCGGCGGTGGTTTTAATGGTCTCTGCAGCTGCGGTGGTTTCGATGGTCTCTGCGGCGGCGGTGGTTTCGATGGTCTCAGCAGCGGCGGTGGTTTCAGTGGTCTCTGCGGCGGTGGTTTCAGTGGTCTCTGCAGCGGCGGTGGTTTCAGTGGTCTCTGCGGCGGTGGTTTCAGTGGTCTCTGCGGCGGCGGTGGTTTCAGTGGTCTCTGCAGCGGCGGTGGTTTCAGTGGTCTCAGCAGCGGCGGTGGTTTCAGTGGTCTCTGCGGCGGTGGTTTCAGTGGTCTCTGCGGCGGCGGTGGTTTCAGTGGTCTCTGCGGCGGCGGTGGTTTCACTGGTCTCTGCGGCGGCGGTGGTTTCAGTGGTCTCTGCGGCGGTGGTTTCAGTGGTCTCTGCGGCGGTGGTTTCAGTGGTCTCTGCGGCGGCGGTGGTTTCAGTGGTCTCTGCAGCGGCGGTGGTTTCAGTGGTCTCTGCGGCGGCGGTGGTTTCGATGGTCTCTGCGGCGGCGGTGGTTTCAGTGGTCTCTGCGGCGGTGGTTTCAGTGGTCTCTGCGGCGGCGGTGGTTTCAGTGGTCTCTACGGCGGCGGTGGTTTCAGTGGTCTCTGCGGCGGTGGTTTCAGTGGTCTCTGCGGCAGTGGGTTCAGTGGTCTCTGCGGCGGTGGTGGTTTCAGTGGTCTCTGCGGCGGCGGTGGTTTCAGTGGTCTCTGCGGCGGCGGTGGTTTCAATGGTCTCAGCAGCGGCGATGGTTTCAGTGGTCTCTGCAGCGGCGGTGGTTTCAGTGGTCTCTGCGGCGGCGGTGGTTTCAGTGGTCTCTGCGGCGGTGGTTTCAGTGGTCTCTGCGGCGGCGGTGGTTTCAATGGTCTCAGCAGCGGCGGTGGTTTCAATGGTCTCTGCGGCGGCGGTGGTTTCAATGGTCTCTGCAGCGGCGGTGGTTTCAGTGGTCTCTGCAGCGGCGGTGGTTTCAGTGGTCTCTGCGGCGGCGGTGGTTTCAGTGGTCTCTGCGGCGGCGGTGGTTTCAGTGGTCTCTGCGGCTGTGGTTTCAGTGGTCTCTGCGGCGGCGGTGGTTTCAATGGTCTCAGCAGCGGCGGTGGTTTCAATGGTCTCTGCTGCGGCGGTGGTTTCAATGGTCTCTGCAGCGGCGGTGGTTTCAGTGGTCTCTGCAGCGGCGGTGGTTTCAGTGGTCTCTGCGGCGGCGGTGGTTTCAGTGGTCTCTGCAGCGGCGGTGGTTTCAGTGGTCTCTGCGGCGGCGGTGGTTTCAGTGGTCTCTGCAGCGGCGGTGGTTTCAGTGGTCTCTGCGGCGGCGGTGGTTTCAATGGTCTCTGCAGCGGCGGTGGTTTCAGTGGTCTCTGCAGCGGCGGTGGTTTCAGTGGTCTCTGCGGCGGCGGTGGTTTCAGTGGTCTCTGCGGCGGTGGTTTCAGTGGTCTCTGCGGCGGCGGTGGTTTCAATGGTCTCAGCAGCGGCGGTGGTTTCAATGGTCTCTGCGGCGGCGGTGGTTTCAATGGTCTCTGCAGCGGCGGTGGTTTCAGTGGTCTCTGCGGCGGCGGTGGTTTCAGTGGTCTCTGCGGCGGCGGTGGTTTCAGTGGTCTCTGCGGCGGCGGTGGTTTCAGTGGTCTCTGCGGCTGTGGTTTCAGTGGTCTCTGCGGCGGCGGTGGTTTCAATGGTCTCAGCAGCGGCGGTGGTTTCAATGGTCTCTGCTGCGGCGGTGGTTTCAATGGTCTCTGCGGCGGCGGTGGTTTCAGTGGTCTCTGCAGCGGCGGTGGTTTCAGTGGTCTCTGCGGCGGCGGTGGTTTCAGTGGTCTCTGCAGCGGCGGTGGTTTCAGTGGTCTCTGCGGCGGCGGTGGTTTCAGTGGTCTCTGCAGCGGCGGTGGTTTCAGTGGTCTCTGCGGCGGCGGTGGTTTCAATGGTCTCTGCAGCGGCGGTGGTTTCAGTGGTCTCTGCGGCGGCGGTGGTTTCAATGCTAAGCGGCTCAAGGCTAATGGGCCGGAATGCTAATGAGTGTTTTACATACGTGATGCTTCTGCGTTATGGAGGAGCGGCCATTTTGTGATTATGGATCGTTTGGGGTCATTCCGCTCCAAGGTTTCGCTTTGGATGAGGCCGGAAGATTGTACGACTTTTAAATGTACGGGAAGGAAAGTATTTGCGTAAAGCTTTAAGGGTCTGATAACTCACACTGGAAATGTTTACTGAAAATAACATAAATTAGGCTTATTTTTTATTTTTGCTTGGATGTAGTTAGTCATAATATTATTTGACTAGTTTTAAGATACATCATAATCTAATTAGAGAAAAAGTCTGAGCAGTGACTTTTTAAGCACGTTTAAAGTTTGGTCTTATTTCCAGACTTTTCTTGTTTAGATAAAATAAGTTTGTGAAGCTGTGTTTTTAGAAAACATAAAAAGTGGCTACAGTAGTTCATCAGCGCAGTGTTTGGAGAGAAAGAAGAATAATGTGAGGCGTCTTTGAGAGTCTAAAAAGCGCTGTATAATATAATACTTTTATGAATGATATATTAATTGACAATAGTTTTATTGTTAAAGTATTCGCCACATTCCAAACATTCCCAAAAAAACCTTTCCTTTTGCTCATTCTGTGTTCTAAGTTTTCCAAGTTGTAAATCTCGTCCAAACCTAGTGACGCCGTAAATGTTTTTTTTAAGGAAGATGCAGAAAGTTAATTTTAATCATCGTAGTGAATGAAAACATGACATTGGAGCGACGCAAACCTGCGGCTGCGGTTCAAAGTAAAGAGCTTCAGAGACGCTCATTCAACTCCTTTTTCCATCTTCTTTCATCAGACATCGATGCCGTACGGTGAAAAGCCCATTCAGGGCCGGAACGCAGACTCAGCTCGGCTCAGCTCGGCTCAGCTCGGCTCACCATTTATTCCACTAATCTTAAGGACAAACTCTTGATGTGAAGTGTTAGAGAAAGGTCTGACTCCAGCCACATGAAAGGGTTAGGGTCAGATTAAAGGGGAGGTCACAGGTCCTGGGTCTGATTCCTTTTCCAGGTCGAGAGGAGTTTGCAGGTTCTTGCTGGGTCTGCGTAGGTTTCCTCCAGGTGCTTCGGTTTCCCCTATACCAGGGAGTCCAGACTTGACCCGGGGCCGACAATCTGGATTCAAAACCGCGATTGGAGCTGGATTAACTGGATTCTGGAATTTAAACTGTGTTATGATACGTGCTTATCGTTCACAGCTGCATCTGTGTGGAATGTTGTCACACAATCATAAAATAAATGTCAGTAAATAATATTAGAGCCGACGACTGGATTCTGGAGAGTCTGAGATTTACAACAGCAGGACTGTGTTGGTGGAGCTGAAGTTGACTCTTACCCCCACTTTGCCTGAAGCCCCCACTGAAAGATCAAGGGTGTGACATCACCAACAGAGCAGCACCTGCAGAGGATCAGGGGCTGGGGCTCTGTGACTGCCACCTCCGACCCAGAAATGGATCAAGGGGAAGAAAATGTCGGCACGGTGGCTGAGTGGTTAGCACTCTCACTTCTCAGCACGAAGGTCCTGGGTTTGAATCCCGGTCACAACAGGGCCTATCTGAGTGGAGTTTGCATGTTCTCCCTGTGTCTGCGTAGGTTTCCTCCGGGTACTCCAGTTTCCCCTACCACTAAAAACATGTACAATAGGTCTGTGCCTCCTGTTAGTATTAGATAGCAATATGGCCTACGTGCAGGACTCTACAAGGACTCCATGTTATGACTCTGATGTGACTGTCTCTTTGTGACACGTATGTCTTTCGATGTGTGACGTGACAATGACTATATAAACTGTGTACTGCCTTTATTCTGTCTGAGAGAAAGAAACAAAGTAAACCAGTGGAACTTGAGAGAAACTTAAATAAACTTCCAGAGTTTGGCACACCACGATCCGTCTCTGTCTGCTAAATCCTGACACTCCTGTACTCTGTGTGGAGTCACAGACTAATGTAACAACTGTAAAGGTCTGTGTCTCTGGTCTGAGAAAGGCGCTATATAAATAAACATTACTGAGATGGATGAAAGTAGCAGCTCTGAGCACGAGCCGCTCCTGAACCCTCCCACGTGATGATTATCCCAGAACCTCCCGTAATCTGCTTGTGCAATATTGACAAGTGCAATATTGACAAGTGCAATATTGACAAGTGCAATATTGACAAGTGCAATATTGACAAGGAAGTAAGACCTTCTGTGAAAGGCGGTGTATAAATAAACATTACTTACTCACGGCGATGTCGTCCTTCTGCACAATCCACAGGAAATTAAAGAAAAGGATCTTAGTAAATGAATTATTGTTTATGGGTTTTCCAAAGAGACGATACACTTAACATGGTCTAGTGCAACAACCGCACACACACACACACACACGCACACACACACACACACACACACACACACACACACACACACACACACACACACACACACACACACACACACACACACACACATATATACACAAATACACATACTGTACATACATACACAGTCAGAAACATCATGTCTGGAGCATGTATGTGTAAAGTCAGGTACCCCAGCTTTAAAACTAAAGCACAAACACAACTCTATCAAACTCAGAGTCCGTTAAACATGATCTCAGGTCTTTGTTTGTCCACAGCTGTTCTCCCGTCGACAGGTGGGAACGACTTCTTCCAGACCCCCCCACCCACGAGCAGCCAAAGCCCCCCCCCCGCCGTCTCTTTTACCGCGCCGCACCAATCTGGCCAGACATATGCAGCCGCGCATCTGGCCTCGCCGCTGCGCCCCAGCTCCCAAGAAATAG